ACAGTTCGTGATCTTTGCGCCTTGGTCCAGGAGGAGGGTTCCCAGATTGTTTTTCTTAGTGAAACTAGACAAAAGGTTGAGAGAGTTAAACGACTACGCACTAGACTTGGTGTCAGGGGTTTTGCTGGTGTTAGTAATGAAGGAATGAGTGGAGGTTTAGCTTTGTTTTGGCATGAATCTATACATATGGAAATAAAATCTTTGAATGAGAGGTACATTGATGCGCATGTGTGTTTATCCCATGATGGGCCAAAGTGGCATGTTACCTTTGTTTGCAGGGAACCGCGAGTTGAACACAGACACCGTATGTGGTCTCTGCCATTAAGCAAACTTCTTCCCTTCCTTGGCTTGTAATGGGAGATTTTGATGAGGCACTTTGGCAGTTTGAGCATCTTTCGGTGAGAAAGAGAGGTGAAGGACAGATGCTAGCCTTCCGGGAGTTAATCCAAAATTGTGATCTCCACGACCTAGGCTTTACGGGATTTCCTTTCAACTATGACAATCGCAGAGAGGGAAGGAATAATGTGAGGGTCAGACTTGATCGTGCCCTTGCAGATGACAATTGGCGGGATATTTTCAGTGAGGCGCACATAGTCCACCTGACATCACCCTGCTCTGATCATTGTCCAATACAGCTACAATTCAATATGGTGAATCCAAGCAGTAACCGATCTAAGTGCTTACACTATGAAATATGTTGGGACAGGGATGCTTAGTCTACTGTTGTGATCGAAGAGGCCTGGAAGGAAGTGAGCGACAAACACGACTTGGGGGCAATTAATTCTGCTCTAGGTCGAGTAATGCGTGCTCTTAGAGTGTGGAGAAGGTCAAAATTTAAAAACATAGGCCGGGAATTGGAGAAGGCCCGTCAGAATTTGGCTCGTCTGAATGTGAGCAATTCAGATCGTACTGAGCTGCGTCGTGCTACTGACCATATGAATGAGCTCCTCTATAGGGAAGAAATGCTCTGGCTTCAATGGTCTAGAATCAGTTGGCTAAAGGAAGGTGATAGAAACACTAAGTTTTTTCACAGTAGATCAGTCTGGCGTGCAAAGAAGAATAGAATTTCTAAACTTAGGGACAGATCTGAAACTATTCAGAATTCGGCAACAGTGTTGGAGAATATGACGATCTCGTACTTCAAAGAAGTCTTCAAGGCTGACTCTTCTCTTGATCATTCCAGGGTTACTCGGCTTTTTTAGGAAAGGGTAACATACCAAATGAATGCCGAGCTTTGTAAAGAGTTCTCTGATGAGGAAATAGCCGATGCTCTCTTAGAAATTGGGCCATTAAAAGCCCTGGGTCCGGATGGATTTCTGGCTCGATTCTATCAGAGGAATTGGGGAGTGATCAAAGCTGACGTCATACGAGCTGTTAAGGAATTTTTCTCCTCAGGAGAGATGCCGGAGGGTATTAATGACACAGCTATTGTGCTTATCCCAAAAACCCAACAGCCGTTAGAGATGAAAGATTATCGTCCCATAAGTTTGTGCAATGTGTTGTACAAGGTTGTCTCAAAGTGCCTAGTTAACAGACTCAGGCCAATTCTGGATGATCTTATATCACCAAATTAGAGTGCTTTTGTTCTGGGGAGGTTGATTACGGACAATGCCCTCCTCGCTTTCGAGTGTTTTCATTTTATTCAAAAGAACAAGTCTCCGAGCAAGGCTGCTTGTGCTTACAAGCTTGATCTCTCGAAAGCATATGATCGGGTGGATTGGAGGTTCTTGGAGCAGGGTATGTACAATCTGGGTTTCGCTCATAGTTGGGTTAAATGGATCATGTCTTGTGTAACCACAGTGAGATATGCAATCAAATTTAATGGAACGCTGTTGAGTACATTTGCTCCAACTAGAGGACTTCGTCAAGGCGACCCTCTCTTTCCTTTTCTCTTTCTCTTTGTGGCTGATGGCCTATCCTGTTTGTTGGATAAGAAAGTGCGAGAAGGATCCTTTCACTGGTTCATATATGCCATAGAGCCCCTGGGATACTCTCCTGTTCTTCAAGGCAAATAATAACCAGGCTCGAGTGGTCAAGGAAGTCCTTCAGGATTACGCCCTGGGAACAGGGCAGCTCATCAACCCGGCGAAATGCTCTATGCTGTTTAGTACTGCCACCCCGGTAGAAATTCAGAACTCTATCAGCAACACTTTGCAGTTAGTTAATGCTTCGTTTGAAGACAAGTATCTTGGTTTTCCCACTCCCAATGGGAGGATGTGCAAAGGTAAATTTCAGAGCTTACAAGAATGAATCTGGAAACGAATAATGCTTTGGGGCGAGAATTTTCTTTCATCTGGAGGGAAAGAGATCATGCTTAAATCCATGCTTGGAAGGACTTCCTTGATTGACACAAGTTTCAGTGCCAGTGCATCTCCGGGTTGGCGTTCAATAGAATATGGTCTAGAACTCCTGAAGAAAGGTATCATTTGGCGAGTCGGCAATGGCCGTTCAATCCGTATATGGCGCGATCCCTGGATTTCGAGGGGCCATTCACGTCGGGTAATTTCGAGGAAAGGCAGCTGCAGATTGAAATGGGTTTCGGATTTGATTACACCAGAAGGCTCCTGGGATTCTGATCGTATTAGCCAAGCTTTCTTGCCCATTGATGTTGATCTCATTTTGGGTATTCGCCTGTCAGCTAGGCAGGAAGAGGATTTCCTTGTGTGGCACCCTGACAGACTCGGTCGGTTTTCAATCCGTAGTGCATATCATCTTGCAACATCCCTTGCTGAATCGGATAGCAGCTCCAGTTCTTCGGGAGTAATTCTCAGCAAAACATGGGACTGTCTACGGAAGTGCAAAGTCCTGCAGAAAGTTAAAATCCATGCTTGGAAGGCAGCCTCCAATTACCTCCCTACGATGGAGAATAAAAAGAAAAGGAATTTAGAGGCCTCCGAGGTTTGCAAGATCTGTGGCATAGAGAAGGAAGATACTATCCATGCGCTATATCGCTGCCCTCAAGCTAGACAACTCTGGATACTTATGCGAGATGTCATTTACTTGGACCCTGCTGTTGTCGGACGGTGTACAGGACCGAACCGGGTTCTAGACTTGCTTATGCTTCTGCCAGAGGACAATCGTATGTTCTTCCTGATGACTCTGTGGCGGGTGTGGTTCATCCGGAATGAAATCATCCATGGGAAAGAACCACCTCCAGCTACCGTTTCGAAGCGGTTTTTGCTGAGTTATGTCCGATCGCTGCTTGATTTATCGCAACATCCAGATGGAAGCCTGTTAAAAGGGAAGCATGTAGCGTCGTCCTCCCCGCAGACTAATGGCATGGTTAAACCTGTTAACGTGCAGGCCTCTGCTCCCTGGATCAAACCGCAGCCGGGATGGATGAAATTAAACATTGATGGTTCCTTTGATGCGTCTCTGAATCAAGGCGGCATCGGTGTAATCCCGAGGAACAGTACTGGTTCAGTCATTTTCTCGGCGTGTGGCTTCATTGATCGATGCAACTGTGCGCTGGAGGCAGAACTCCTTGCGCTAAAGGAAAGCATCATTCTGGCGCTTCATTGGACATTGTTGCCGATCTGTATCGAGACGGACTGTCTAGAAGCTGTGAACCTTATTCAGTCTGCAAGAAGCGTGAGATCAGAGTTAGCTCACCTGATTCGTGATATAGGTGCGCTGATATCAGGGAATAGGGAAATGCAGATTAAGAAAGTGTTGCGTTGCCAAAACACTGTTAGTCACTTTCTAGCTAATAGGGGTTGGAGTGAGGATCGCTCTGAATTCTGGCCGGACAACAGTTGTAACCTCATTGCACACCTAGTGTGTGAGCATCCTTCAGTTACTTAATGAATTTCCCTTTCCCCCGCACAAAGAAAAAAATTGGATGGATAAAAGAGTTGAGGTTTGTCCAAATGGCCATAGAGGTAAGATTTCCCCAAGGTAAAAACATTAGTTAAATGATGGTCCCAAGAGAGGCATCGATAATAAAATATAACGTAAAGCGAAATTCACTTTAATAACAATAAATCAAAAATAGTTGTATTATGTGAATTTTATTTTCTACTATACTGGGAATGTCTAAATTGTAGCACACATCGTGCCAAATTTATTTTCACTATTTTTCCTTGCTTTCTCTACTCTCTACAACTATCCTATGTTTTTTTAGATTCTATAACATTTTTGTAATTTTCAGTTATCCATAAAAATAGTGTAGTGAGTTGTGAATTAGTGATACCGTATTATTGTGAGTTGTACTGTCTACTACTCTACTCTCTTTGGGAGTGTCCAAATTATAGCTAGGATAAATAATTTTCCCATACTTTTTACAGCATTCATGCATTTTTCTAGATTTTCTAAACTTTTTCCGTAATTTTCAATTATTAGACATACCCGTATGTCAAACGAGAAAAGCACACGAGAAGATTCCGCTCCGTTGGCGCCAACAAAATCAAAGTGTGTGCCAACAAAATTCCAAGTTCGTGACAACAGAGTGCAAACTGAAGTATGGAATTCAGTCATGTTACCCTGCTCCAGGTGGTCCCACACGGTTGTTTGGTGGTGGCGCACTGTATTTTTGGATGTTACCATGTTCCTGTTCATAGACATGGTAAGTTACCGCGTGTTATGTTAAACTCTCGGTAACAGTTGGGAGCACACGAGAGCTTTCCCAGCTCTGGTAGTGAAAGAGAGAGAATAGATAAGATAACAGAAGCAGGTCATAACAAACGGTAGTCATCTGCCTCACAAGAGCTGGGCGATAGAATTAATGGTGTAATTTGTGTTTATAGCTGACAATTATATGGGCACGTTGGTTAAAATTGGCTATAAACTATGTGCCAATTTTCATCATGTGCGACTGCTGCATAAAGATGGTAAAAATCATCACATCAAAACAAAATAGCATGTGTTGACCACAAGATATACGCATTATCACCACAATATTAACACCTTGCAATCTATTTCCAACTATCTTACATTTGTTTTTACAATTTCCATTCCCAAATAAATAAATCTCCTATATATAACAGAGATGACTAATCCCATACAAACAATGCAAGCTATTTACTCTCCTATCATATATTTACATCACCCCTAAAACAATTACTCTCCAATCATCCATGCAATCACTACGAAATATGAATACTACTCGAAACTACCAATGAACTCCCTAGTCCCTACCATATGCATGCCAAGTTGTCAACCCCAGAGCCCGGTCGGCGTCGTCATGACCAGAGGCGGCGCCTCGAAACCATGGACTGTCCGGCAGACAGCCAACGAGCTGCCGCCGTCGATCGCCGTGCCGGCAGACGTCGGCACGGCGTTCACCGTCCTCCTGTACGGGCCAAGCCATTTGGCAATCATGAACTTGCGCTTCCTCCACGGCGGCACGCTGAGGCGGCGGCGCTTCAGCGAACGCCGCGCCGCCGACGCCGCCGCCCTGACGACCTTCCTCACGTCGTCGGGCCTCGCGACGAGCACCTCCGGCAGCGCGGAGCGCACGGCCTCGTAGTCTTCCGTCGGCCGCGCCACCTCGAACTCACCGGCGAAGCCGACGTCGACGATGTATCTCGTCGCCTCTGCAGCATCTGGTGCGGCGGCGACGACGACATCGATGTACTCGTAGCTTCCGGCGACCATGCTGCTCGTCTTGTTCCACCGCGCCTTGCAGAGGCCAGCGTCGTGGCCGCGCTCCCGCAGGAGGGACATCACCGCGCGCCGGAACGCCGACCGTTGGGCGCGGACGTTCTCCAGCTCACGCATGGAATCCACCACGTCGGCGAAGATCCGGCGGCGCAGATCATCACCGTCGCCCCCACCGGCGGCGTCCAGAACGCGTGCGATCTCGTCGACCTCCTCAGCCGCGCCGACGCCGCCCTCGTGCTCGTCATCCTCCTCGGCGTCGGAGCCTCCACCAACGGCGAGCACGGCGGCGGAGGGGACGGTGGCGTCGTCGGCCGCCTCGAGGAGGTACTCGTTGACGAGGCTGGACAGCGCGGCCTCGTGCTCGCTGCCGCTGCTGTCAGCGCTGCCCGGGACGACGGCGAGGCGGGCCATCGCGGCGGCGTCCAGCGGCGCGGTGGCGCGCTTCGCCCTGGAGCTCGCACATGGCGTCGTCATCTGCAGAGAGATCGGAAGTTGCTGTACTTAGAAGCGGTGTGTTCATGAGACGTGGCTGCTCGGTAACGCATATATTGTGCGAAAACGGCAGTGGACTACTGAAATGTCAGTGGAGTGTCGACACAATGCGTAAATGTTAGCTCATGTATGTACTAGCAAAAGAAACTTCACCATAATTGGCTGCTAATTAACAAGGTAATTATGGGAGACAAATTAGTTGGCCCTATTTATGAAACTAGGAAGGTGGCCCGCGCATATGCGCGGGCACTTTACTAAATTAGTATTGATTAAATTTGTATTATGAATCCTTATTATGTGGAAGTGACTTTTTTTTAAAGGAAATAGTCTGAATTACACCCTTAAACTATAATAACAGTGCGAATTGTTCCGGTTATATCTAAACTCGTCTATCACCATCGTTCGCTAACATATGAGTTAATATATTTTTTGTTTTGTCTTTTCTTTTATTATATATTTGATTCACCTATGCATGTTCATGGGTAATATACGATGGAATAATCTATAATGTTAATAATTAGCATATTATTACATAGATGGCAATTATATAATTAAAAAGATATAATGTGGTTACATGCGACATTTTCGATGATATATATATATATATATATATATATATATATATATATATATGTTTTTCCTGGCAAATACTAATTACATATTTTTTCCTCTTTTTTTGGACAAATATTTTTTCTCTTAGGGTAGGTGTGCGTATGCCTATTCCTATGATGGGTGTGCACACCTTTATATATGCGCTCGAGATTGCCTTTAACATTAATAGTAAAAAAATGCTTTCAAGAAAATTGGCGAGATGGCGTAAAGCGGTGCAGTGCAGCGTGGCTTCTTCGACAGTCTCGCCAGGAGTGGTCACTACTCATATGCACAATTTGTGGAAAATCTCAGTGCTGCAAAGAAAGAAAGAGAAAACTACTTGATGGGGCTGATCGTATACACACTCTTCTTTTTTTCCTTTATGACATCTCTTGTGTACGTACATAGTGAGGGATTACTTGAATAGATATAATATAATGATTGAAAATAATATATCCACTGGTTTATGTGTAAATAAACAGTTATATTTTGCTTTTCTTAATATATTTTTTCTTATATTTTCTCTAATTTATTAGAGCGTCATGCGGCATCTTGGAAGTGCAGGAATGCTATTAGTCATAGTCGTAATGGATTACTTGAAGAGATCTAATCTTATGGTTAAAAATAATTTATCCACCAGTTTAAGTGTAAATCAATGGCTAGATGTTTTACTTTTTCTTATAACTTTTGTTAGATCTACCCTTATTTATTAGAACGTCACGTGGCATCCTAGGAATGTATGTAGGTGTGTGGGAACGCTATTACCCAATAGTTCCAACATATTTGTAGTCAACTATAATTTGTTGCGGCTTGCTAGTATCAATACTTATCTATCATCTGTTGATGGTTTTTCACTTAGTATTGTCCATTATCAGTACTTGATAACACAATGCATATTAGATGTCATCTAATTATTAGGTGTATTAAGCACGGATGCCTCATAAGTAATTAATATGACTTGATAATTGGTGGATAGTGTTTTGTATATGAAACTTATACACATAGGAATTAGTAGGGATATATGATTGATATATTTGGCTCTATTCCTGATTGACAAAATATATTATATGCTATATATTTTATAGTAAATTTAAGGTTGAGTTCTAAAATTTTATCGGATTGGCTACTCCCTTTATGGTGAGATGTTCCTAAAATGATGCATGTTTTCAAATACTTTCTATGCAAAGTTTTTTTAAATGATCAAATAAATCCATATTCAAGTTTGTAATATTTAATACTTAATTAATCTTACGCTGACGACATGCTTTTTTTTTCGCGTGTCCTAGATAAGCTCATCTAATGAGGTAGACCGAATGAAGCCTAAGAGATAAAAAAATACATCCACATGGTGTAAAAAAATATATGATTGTTAATTTTTCAAAAATATATGAATAAAGGAACATATAATATATGAAAATATATTCATGATAATTTAATAATGTCATTTGGGCATATCAATATTATATAGTAGGGAGTGAGTAAATTTTTAGAATGCTGCTCATAATTTAAATTCTTTTTATTTTTTAAAAATATAAGTCCAATTTAACTATGTTCTTAAGAGATATACAATCATATAATCTACAATTTTAATTTATTAATATTTTTAATGGATGTTTTGATGCGATGCGCTATTTAGAATAAAACGTGAAATAGCATATATTTTTACAACTTTAATTTAACATGATTTTTCATCTAATCTAAGAATATAAGAAGAAAAGAAAAGGAAAAAGACTTACAGGGGATATGTATGTACGTATACGTACAAGTCCACGGGGACACCCCGGAGGGGGGGGTAACGTGGGATTTTTTTTTTATAGATTGATTTGGGTTTTTTCTTAACAAAATCTAATGGTTTAAAATAGTGGGTCCACCAGATTAAATGAAAATCGATGGCTAGATGTTTTGCTTTTTTCTTATAATTTATAGGATTTATTAAAGCGCCACATGGCAATCTAGGAGCGTTTATAGGAGCGCCACATGGCGGTTTAGGAGCGTTTGTAGGAAGTTTAATGGACTTTTAGTATATAATAGATAGAAGATATCATGTGAAATTTCTAATATTAATTATTCCAGCCATTTCACGTTTTAAAACGTTTTGGTCTCTCCATATCTCTCATCTGGATTTACTAACGTTTGTATTTAATTTGGACACATATACAAAACACTTACATGGATGCATCCATGAATCTATTGAAAACCCAAACACACACATGTGATGGCAGTTTGAGAATAAATAGTATCGTTGCATATGTTAAGTGAAACATATAAAAAATTAATGTCTTGAGTTCTCCAACCGTTCATAATTCAGGAGTTTCTTCTCAATTACAAAAGAATAGGATTTCCCTATTTCGTGTTCAATAAAATCTGCTCAACGAAAATACACATGTCCATTTGGAACATGGCATTGGACACGCGTGCTGCGACTCTCATCCATCGATTCATGCTTGCTGGAATGTAAATTCTTTCGAAATTTCTAAGTACCGGGCATAAATAATTTGATCCTTGTGGTACAGAAATGTACGTCCAAACAATGTCCAAACAGTGTTAGCATTTCCTTTTATAACCTTATGATATCAGTACATATTTGAAGGAAAAGCTCCTAGTTTGTCTATTTGATTTTGAAAAAGATTCTTTGGTCCATGAAATACTTGACAATACATCTATCCAATCCAACAAGTTAAATGAAAAAAAAATACAACCCAACAGCACGCTGTTTAATTAATCATGCTGTTCTCTTAAGCTATAAACAAAATGCTTTTTATTACTTGAAATTACAAAAAAATTTCATAACGAAAGCTAATTTCTTTGTTTTTTGAAAAAAAACTAAAAGCAAACAAACGGAAGCAAGATCATGAAATTAAAGAACACAGGACTAACCTTATAATGTACGGCCTTCAGATCCGTTGATAATTATTGATCAAGCTTCGTCAGATTTTGTTTACTGGCCTCGATGCTTCTCTCTTAATCTGAATAATCGTTCCTTTTTTTTGAATGCCAATTCCTTCATTGCTGAGAAATTAACATTGCGAGCTACTGCACTTGCCATTGGAGGATCTATATATGTTTACCTCTGGCCGTTTGCCCTTGTTGGTTGTCAATACTCGACACCGACGACTGACCTATGTCTAGGTTCATTGAACATAATGGAAGGTGTCCAGGTACAATGCACCAGGGGCTCATTAGTCATTGCAATATATATGTACCTAAGCCATGTATAGGTACGTCCATGCAGCGTCTGTTCATTTGCATGTGCCTATCGACGCAGAAACGTATATGATACTGAGCTTGTATCCTATATATATATATATATATATATATATATATATATATATATATATATATATATATATATTGTTGTCACGTTTCTTTTTTCGTGTTTTCTAATTTGTCTGATTTTGAAAATTTACACTCGTGTCTATTCGTCTAAAATAGCTTAATGAAAATTTCATAAATCGAAAGATGCTTAATGTGACTAAATAAACTAATTACGCTGCCTTCTCATTTTATCGTTTGTTAATTGGAGTTATTTGGTTTTTATTTGAGTTTGGAAGTGGAGCTGAAATTTCCCAAAGTTCCCTATCCAAAGAAATCACCAGTATTCCAAAAATCTCCAAATTTCAAACTTTCATGAAAAATCTCTTTTCTTTTCCTTCCTTTCTCTTTCATCCTTCTTACTTATTCGTCTCTTTCTTTTTCTTTTTTCCCCTCCCTACTGCAGGTGATGCCTCTCCTCTCTCTCCCTGTCTATTGATCTCTTTCTCTGCTATCCATTGCTCTGTCTATCTCCGCGTCTCCCCTATCGATCTCTCTGTCACGATCTCTGTTCCTCTCTACACAGGCCGAAACCAGCAGCCCATATCCCCCACAACGCCGTGGTCTGAGCCCAGCCCAAGCCACCATCCTTCACATAGGGCGAAGCCGTTTCTTTTATTGGAATAAGTTCACGTGATATTCCTAAACATCTTGTCGAGTCTGTCTCTGAGCTGCCCCAATCCAGAAATCTCTACCTCTCCACTATCCCCAAACCGTGCAAAAAAAGGTCTCGGCGATATCGACCCAATTTCTCCCTGGTTTAGCTGACATGCCATATGTGGGCTCCACATGTCAGTGTGCCATTGAGGCGTTATTACACGGTGTTAAAACAGGCGCGCACATGTACCTACTCCGATCCATCTCTTATCTCTCCCGTGCTTGCTCTGTCCAAACCATAGCATAGAGGCGACCTGGAGGCGATTTGGAGGTGAGGACGAGATTGAAGGTTGCAACAAGCAAGATGCGCTGGCAGTGACAGGTGACGTGCTTGTCGATTCACGGGGTGGATCTAACCCCGGTAAGTTAGTTCTGAGCTTGGCATTTCGTACAAAGAGAGTGCCCACTGTTTTGATTTGTGGGAAGTTTTAAAATGTGCTAGATTTATTTCTTTTGT